GGTTGGTATGTTTGTTGTTTTACGCCGAACGCATCAATATTCCAGCATTATGACGGCGGTCTGTAAATAATCGAGTCTGGACCAGACAATCCAGTGATAAATATCATGAGCATCCATCCACGCAATTGGGATACGATGACATGCATCAACCAACTCAGCGAGCCTGACCACCCGATCCCGTTTGTCGCCTTTTACGACAAGCATGGGTTGCTGAAGACCTATTCTTACCCGGATCTTCACGGGCCGATCGATATTACGAGCAACGATCCACGCATTTGGGATGTAACGACACACAATATACGACCACCATGGATTGCTGGGGACCTTCATCAACCAGAACCACAATGGAGTCTCTGAGCTACTATGCTTTGAAATCTGAAATATTTCTCCTGAAGGTCTTATTTTTCTCAAACAGATCATATGTTTCCTATGATAACAGGTATTTCAAGACAAAAGCATTTCAAGTGAAAATATAGGTAATGGGTGGCTAATTCACTCTAAATCTTTCTCGACATTCAGGTATCTTCTCATGGAAACTCATGAGGTTTACCCCTGTGTAAATATCAGGTTAATGAATTCTCCCGTGAGTTGAAAACCCATGCATAACATGTGCTTACAATTCACATTTAGGTACATGGCACTTGGGTTTGACTTTAGTATTAAAACCGCTCTCCAGAGTTGTAAATGCTACCTCAGCATGAGGTGCTTGCCTTACCTTCACATGCCTTTTGTTATGCATCGGATTCCCAGTTTCTCCACATCTTGATGTACGTGTAACTATTCTACCCTTGTTGGGGCTGGTACATATTTCTTCCTACATTGTACATTTGCTGAAACTACGAGAAGATAAACGCTGTTTTCTTAGAGATAGTTTACCATTCGATCCAGACAAAGGTGATTTTGGAGACATGTGAAGAAACTTTAGCTCGGAATTCACTCCATTCATACTTATCATACTGTATACAACTATCCTGAGTGAAAGTGAGTTTATTTTAGTAAAGGCGCCACTGGCCAATAATACAGTACATTCACAAAATAAGGTTTAACGTGTGGAGCGCTGTTCAGTTATACAGATACATCGCTTTCATACAATGCTTTACATACAAATGAAAACATATTTGGCTGAATAGTTTTAACAAATATACTGCGAGACCATAGCACCTGGTGAAATCTAACTTTCAGAAAAACATTGGCAGAAGGTAACAAGTCGTGATTTAATGAATGTACAAGACAACAATGAAACTCAGCAACGATTACTGGTATTACGCAGAGTGGACACAGCCGCTTATTTCTTGGTATACCAAGCTATCTCATCTCTCCAATCATTAGAATATGAACTCCAAGACAACCGAGTCTGTCTAATTGATTTCCATGATGTTACCTCTCTTTGCACTAAATCTGACCGCATGCCATCTTCTCACAAACTTTTAGATGTCAAAGTTTATTTTAGTATTGAAACAAGAAAAATTATTTAAGTGGAATACATGTCATGATAAAGGTTTGCTCCACGATTATTTGATAAAAATGTTCTCGTGATCACATAAATTAAGGAGCGGTTGAGAGGGTTACAGAGATTAGGCTGTTGATGTAAAGAGAGAATTCTGTGATCGATATTATGATACCAGTAGCTGGTTAGACAATAAAAGGAGACAATAGTGCCTCACACACTTTTCCTTGCTTCGGAACCAGCTTTGATGTGAGGACAGCTCATCATCCATCATTCCCTGCCTAACCCATGTCGGAAGCTTGACCACTGTGGCAGCGGGTGAATATGTACAGGTTAGACCACGAGGACCCAGTATCTAATCGTTGAAACCACGAGGGGCGAAGCCATTTCAACGATTAGACACTTGGGTCCGAGACGTCTCATGTCCAACATTTATGGCACCTTAATGCTTAAAAAAACATTGTTTTGTTAAAGGTATTATGAAAGATATTCAGGAACTCTATGCTCAACTGGGAGAACACTGTGAGTCGGCCCTACGTGAAGCACGTGAAATGTGTTCGCCGACCCTTTTGCACGTGCACCTCGCACTTTGCAGATTTGGGTTAGTAAATGCATGTCCCGATGCAAGTATACCATTCATTAATGACCAACTCGAGCACATTTATCAATCAACTAGATATTACTTGGCCATGTTGATGGGCCTATTATGAGTAAATATAGTCCTGATCAAGATAATATTAATTTCTTTTCAATCTGTTCGTTTCGTTGAACGAAAAGCAAAAGCTACAAAACAACAATTACTGGACAAATACTAGAATGCATAGAGTAACATACTGTGGACAAATTGCATAAAACACATTTCGCAGTTTATAAAGGGATAAGCAATTGGTACTGATGTAAGTAAATATTTAGTTGTTAATTTCATACCCTATTTCTTATGTCGCCGTGGCAGAAGACTACCTTCGTAAGCCTCCAGTGCGGACTTCTTGAGTTCGAATCCCGCTGGCGACAAACGTTTTTCATGAAATTGTTCTATCATCAAGACAAAAAAAGTTTGGTCATTGCCAAGTGTTGTTTTACTAACAATTCAGTTAGTGGGACCACAGTCAAAGACAAAGCCATGGTTTTAATATTACTATCACTGACGTGTGCTGTCACCTCTGTAGTTTCTGTATTTGACACTGACCACTGCCATCATGTTATTTATTGCCACTGAATACATTACTACCACGCTATTGTCTACTGTCACTGAATATTGTACAACCCCTCTATTGTCTACTGTCATTGAATATTGTACTACCCCTCTATTGTGTACTGTCACTGAATATTGTACTACCCCTCTACTGTCTACTGTCATTGAATATTGTACTACCCCTCTATTGTCTACTGTCATTGTATATTGTACTACCCCTCTATTGTCTACTGTCATTGTATATTGTACTACCCCTCTATTGTCTACTGTCATTGAATATTGTACTACCCCTCTATTGTCTACTGTCATTGAATATTGTACTACCCCTCTATTGTCTACTGTCATTGAATATTGTACTACCCCTCTATTGTCTACTGTCATTGAATATTGTACTACCCCTCTATTGTCTACTGTCACTGAATATTGTACTACCCCTCTATTGTCTACTGTCATTGAATATTGTACTACCCCTCTATTGTCTACTGTCATTGAATATTGTACTACCCCTCTATTGTCTACTGTCACTGAATATTGTACAACCCCTCTATTGTCTACTGTCACTGAATATTGTACTACCCCTCTATTGTCTACTGTCACTGAATATTGTACAACCCCTCTATTGTCTACTGTCATTGAATATTGTACTTCCACTCTATTGTCTACTGTCATTGAATATTGTACTTCCACTCTATTGTCTATTGTCACTGAATACATTACTACTCCTCTATTGTCTACTGTCATTGTATATTGTACTACCCCTCTATTGTCTACTGTCATTGAATATTGTACTACCCCTCTATTGTCTACTGTCATTGTATATTGTACTACCCCTCTATTGTCTACTGTCATTGAATATTGTACTACCCCTCTATTGTCTACTGTCATTGAATATTGTACTACCCCTCTATTGTCTACTGTCCCTGAATATTGTACTACCCCTCTATTGTCTACTGTCATTGAATATTGTACTACCCCTCTATTGTCTACTGTCATTGAATATTGTACTACCCCTCTATTGTCTACTGTCACTGAATATTGTACAACCCCTCTATTGTCTACTGTCACTGAATATTGTACTACCCCTCTATTGTCTACTGTCATTGAATATTGTACAACCCCTCTATTGTCTACTGTCATTGAATATTGTACTTCCACTCTATTGTCTACTGTCATTGAATATTGTACTTCCACTCTATTGTCTACTGTCACTGAATACATTACTACCCCTCTATTGTCTACTGTCATTGAATATTGTACTACCCCTCTATTGTCTACTGTCATTGAATATTGTACTTCCACTCTATTGTCTACTGTCATTGAATATTGTACTTCCACTCTATTGTCTACTGTCACTGAATACATTACTACCCCTCTATTGTCTACTGTCATTGAATATTGTACTACCCCTCTATTGTCTACTGTCATTGAATATTGTACTTCCACTCTATTGTCTACTGTCATTGAATATTGTACTTCCACTCTATTGTCTACTGTCACTGACTAGTGTACTACCCCTCTACTGTCTACTGTCACTGACTAGTGTACTACCCCTCTATTGTCTACTGTCACTGAATATTGTACTACCCCTCTATTGTCTACTGTCACTGAATATTGTACTACCCCTCTATTGTCTACTGTCATTGTAATTGTACTACCCCTCTGTTGTATACTGTCATTGTAATTGCTGTGCAGTAATTTGTATTGATTTATAAACGAAGTAAATTTTGTAATACGTATGTCGATTGCACACCGCTTGTTTGTTGGTTTCACACCAAGTTCTTTTACGTACAGGTTTCTTTGTAAACTTTGTTTCAATTTGGGAATCGACACCTAACAAGTACACTTACACAACTAGCGAGTATCGACCACCCTGTTCACTTGTACAGATCACTCACCAATATATTTGCAAAAACACAGCTGAATATTACACGGTATACAATAACGACACGAGGGCAACTTTCCACTTCCCTAATATAGACTATAGAGAGAAACATATGATGATCATACCTTCTGCTATCTCAATCCTTTGGCACAGTTGATATTCCCAGTGGATAGTCATATGTTGTTAATTGGTATGTGATGGATCAGATCAACATACACAAGCGGACCGACTATTTGATATTCTAGGGAGGTTAGTTGTTGAGGGGTAAGGCTGGGGTTTTGGTTAGAGATTAGTTATGACGGCAAGAACGCCATTTTAGTGGCAAACAATTTCTATTTCTTTCACCAAATTAACAAATTATCAGTGACAATTTACTTTTATCGTCAAACTCCTAGAAATGCAAATGTTCGGTCACAAATAGAACATTGGCCAAGCAAGAGTGTGTGTGTTTCATAATGTAATCAAACTAAAAAGTCAAATATCGTCAGAATTTTTATTTCCACAATTTGTCAGATCAGGATTGTTTCCACCAGTGACCTTAATTACCCCTGAAACAAACAAGAAACATTCAAAGGATTGATGGCATACTCAACATGGCTAGACGTCTAGGTAGGTATAGGCGGATGTGTACAAGCTAAAAGTGACACTTTCCTTATACACTGTGGAGTTGTACACTTACGATGGGTAGTCATAGTGACACTGGCCGTCAATGCAGTTTAGGTTGTATATTTACGATTGGTAGTCATAGTGACACTGGCCGTCAATACAGTGGAGGTGGTATACTTACGTTGGGTAGCCACAGTGACAATGACAATCAATACAGTGTAGGTTGTATACTTACGATGGGTAGCCAAAGTGACACTGGCCGTCAATACAGTGCAGGTTGTATACTTACGATTGGTAGTCATAGTGACACTGGCCGTCAATACAGTGGAAGTTGTATACTTACGTTGGGTAGACACAGCGACACTGGCCGTCAATACAGTGCATGTTGTATACTTACGATGGGTAGACACAGTGACACTGACCGTCAATACAGTGATGGTTGTATACTTACGATGGGTAGCCACAGTGACACTGACTGTCAATACAGTTGAGGTTGTAAACTTACGATAGGTAGCCATGGTGACACTGGCCGTCAATACAGTTGAGGTTGTATACTTACGATGGGTAGCCACAGTGACACTGACCGTCAATACAGTGGCGGTTGTATACTTACGATGGGTAGCCACAGAGACACTGACCGTCAATACAGTTGAGGTTGTATACTTACGATGGGTAGCCACAGTGACATCGACCGTCAATACAGTGGAGGTTGTATACTTACGATGGGTAGCCACAGTGACACTGACTGTTTATACAGTTGAGGTTGTATACTTGCGATGGGTAGCCACAGAGACACTGGTCGTCAATACAGTCGAGGTTGTATATTTACGGTGGGTAGCCACAGTGACACTGACCGTCAATACAGTGGAGGTTGTATACTTAATTACGATGGGTAGCCACAGTGACGCTGACCGTCAATACAGTGGAGGTTGTATACTTACGATGGGTAGCCACAGTGACACTGACCGTCAATACAGTTGAGGTTGTATACTTACGATGGGTAGCCACAGAGACACTGGTCGTCAATACAGTCGAGGTTGTATACTTACGGTGGGTAGCCACAGTGACACTGACCGTCAATACAGTTGAGGTTGTATACTAACGATGGGTAGCCACAGTGACACTGACCGTCAATACAGTTGAGGTTATATACTTACGATGGGTAGCCACAGTGACGCTGACCGTCAATACAGTGGAGGTTGTATACTTGCGATGGGTAGCCACAGAGACACTGGTCGTCAATACAGTCGAGGTTGTATACGTACGGTGGGTAGCCATAGTGACACTGTCCACCAATACAGTATAGGTTGTATACTTACGATGAGTAGCCACAGTGACACTGACAGTCAATACAGTGGAGGTTGTATACTTACGATGGGTAGCCATCAATACAGTGTTAGTTGTATACTTACGATGGGTAGCCACAGTGACATTCTCCATCAATACAGTGGAGGTTTGCGATGTGGTTTGGACAATCACAGGAAATACGACCACCTTCGTAGAACTGGACGCACATATTCTTGCCGAAGCATCTTCCTGAATGCGAAAAAAATAATGAAGTAGAAACATAAATTTATTGTTCTAAGTATTTCTTCATCTTGGTTATTGATGTAATGATATGTCGCCATACACACGACACACCGTCAGGAAGACTGACGCCGTACACACGACACTGTTAGCGAGAGACTGACGCCGTATACACAACACATCGTGAGGAAGACTGACGCCGTAAACACGACACTGTCAGCGAGAGACTGACGCCAAACACACGACACACCGTCAGGAAGACTGACACCGTAAACACGACACTGTCAGGGAGAGACTGACGCCATACACACGACACACCGTCAGGAAGACTGATGCCGTACACACGACACACCGTCAGGAAGACTGATGCCGTACACACTAAACACCGTCAGGAAGACTGACGCCGTATACACGACACACCGTCAGGAAGACTGACGCCGTATACACGACACACCGTCAGGAAGACTGACGCCGTATACACGACACACCGCCAGGAAGACTGACGCCATACACACGACACACCGTCAGGAAGACTGACACCGTAAACACGACACACCGTCAGGAAGACTGACGCCATACACACGACACACCGTCAGGAAGACTGACGCCATACACACGACACACCGTCAGGGAGACTGACGCCATACACACGACACACCGCCAGGAAGACTGACGCCATACACACGACACACAGCCAGGAAGACTGACACCGTAAACACGACACACCGTCAGGAAGACTGACGCCGTAAACACGACACTGTCAGCGAGAGACACTGACGCCATACACACGACACACCGTCAGGAAGACTGACACCGTACACACGACACTGTCAGCGAGAGACTGACGCCGTACACACGACACACCGTCAGGAAGACTGACACCGTACACACGACACTGTCAGCGAGAGACTGACGCCATACACACGACACACCGTCAGGGAGAGACTGACGCCGTACACACGACACACCGTCAGGGACAGACTGACGCCGTACACACGACACACGTTGTAAGAGTGATACTGACCGAGGTTAGGCTCCGGGTCGCACACGCTGGTGCAGGTGCACTGTCCGTTGATGCAAACGGAGTCGCTGCCGTCGGAGCAACTGGTGATACCGCCGACACAATCTGAGTCGACATTGCAGGACTCGCCATTCACCATCATCACTGCGTGGAGAGGAGCAAAACAAGGACATATTAACATAGTAACATTCCTGTAATTGTCCATGTATGTCTATATGTTTACGTCTGTGTATGTATGGAGTCGTATTTTTGTAATAGACCCGTGAAGATCTGGGGTAGAAAAGGTCTTCAGCAACCCATGCTTGTCGTAAAAAGGCAACTGTGCTCGTCGTAAGAGGCGACTAACGGCATCGAGTGGTCAGGCGCGCTGACTTGGTATATGCATGTCTTCGTATCCCAATTGCGTGGATCGATGCTCATGATGTCAATCACTGGATTGTCTGGTCCAGACTCGATTATTTACCGACCGCCGTCATATAGCTTGAGTATTGCTGATTTGTTTCATTTTTCACATGAAACAGAATTTAAGCTCTGATGAGAAAGACAAAAACACGTGAATTTGGCCAAGCATCTTAACTCAAGCTTCATTATATTTATGATCCGATATCGTAAATAATGAAACAGCCCTTTCCCGTCGACTGATTTTTCCACTAGATATAAGAGAGCCCAGCGAGCCTGCCTCATCTGTTCAGCATCTATCAGCATCTCACAGTTCATGCACAAGTTGTTGCAGCAGGCTTACAGATGTCGATGCGAGAGTGAAGTTTTCAAAAGGATTTGACCATCAATGACCGAAATGATGTCTGACATAATTCCCTATTTTGACTTGAAGCACTTGTTCCCATGCAGTGTGTGACTATATCCCTTTCATCTGTGTCATGGGTGAATAAATCCTTGCTACCTGTGTCATATGTGACTATATCCTTGTTACCCGTGTCATATGTGACTATATCCTTGCTACCCGTGTCATGAGTGAATATATCCTTTCTACCTGTGTCATGAGTGAATATATCCTTGCTACCTGTGTCATATGTGACTATATCCTTGCTACCTGTGTCATATTTGACTATATCCTTGCTACCCGTGTCATATGTGACTATATCCTTGCCATCTGTGTCATATGTGACTATATCCTTGCTACCTGTGTCAAATGTGACTATATCCTTGCTACCTGTGTCATGAGTGACTATATCCTTGCTACCTGTGTCATGAGTGACTATATCCTTGCTACCTGTGTCATATTTGACTATATCCTTGCTACCTGTGTCATGAGTGACTATGTCCTTGCTACCTGTGTCATGAGTGACTATATCCTTGCTACCTGTGTCATGTGTGACTATATCTTTGCTACCTGTGTCATGAGTGACTATATCATTGCTACCTGTGTCATGAGTGACTATATCCTTGCTACATGTGTCATATGTGACTATATCCTTGCTACATGTGTCAGGAGTGAATATATCCTTGCTACCTGTGTCATGTGTGAATATATCCTTGCTACCTGTGTCATATGTGAATATATCCTTGCTACCTGTGTCATATGTGACTATATCCTTGCTACCTGTGTCATGAGTGAATATATCCTTGCTACCTGTGTCATATGTGAATATATCCTTGCTACCTGTGTCATGTGTGAATATATCCTTGCTATCGGTATAATGTTTGAATATATCCTTTTCATCTGTGTAAGGTGTGATTACATCCTTGCTACATGAGTAATGTTTGTTTATGTCCTTGTTCTCTTTGCAATGTGTGACTATATTCTTGCTGAATCTGCATTATGTGACAATATATCCTACTTTCTGTGTAATGTGTGACAATACTTGCAATCTGTGTAATGTGTGACAATACTTGCAATCTGTGTTATGTGTGACTATACGCTCGGTATCGTCAAATATATTCTGAGTTTCGGTAATGTTACTGTAGAGAGAAAACTTATTTCAGAAACATAACACTTGTTAATTTCAAAACTTGCGTGTACCCTTTGGTTGGTAGACCAGACATTATCTCTCAGTGGAAACGAAGTAGTTAAACTAGAATTGCGTAATCGCCTTCATTTTGACACAAGAAAGGTCGTAATAGCCTACACTACAAAACATACTGTACCTGTTACAACAGCCGACACGAGCAGGAGGAGACACTTCATGGTGGTAGACTGGTGGTCGTAGGTTCTGCCAACACTGATATGAGCCACACCTATCTCCACTTCTTGGACACTGGCGAGGTCTCACGTGACTGGGGTCACCGGCTGTCCGAGGACTTTTCCTCACTGGCGACAAGAGGTCCGTAAATGCTGAGAGGACATACCTGTCCCATTATTTAGTTGTAGACACTCTCATGTTAGTCGTGTAAACGATTGGACAACACACCCAAGAATAATGTTTGTTTGTTTGTTTGCTGTTTAACGCCGCACTTAACAATATTATAGCTATATAACGGCGTCTTGAAATAATCAAGTCTGCACCAGACAATCCAGTGATCGACATCATGAGCATCGATCCCCGCAATTGGGATAGGATCACATGAATCAACCAAGTCAGCGAGCCTGACCAACCGATGCCGTTAGTCGCCTCTTACGACAAGCATCGTCGCCTTAACATGTGTTGCTGAAGACCTGTTCAATCCCGGATCTTCACGGGTCCCACGAGTAATGGGTTTTACGGCAGGTGAAGCTGAAGACAAGTATCGTCTCAGCTGCTGTGTGGGGAAACAAACCGCGGGGGTCAGATGCTACCGCCATGCCAATCACGTGGACGGTGGTAACAAACCAGAGATCGGGATTGATCCAGGATTCGAACCCATATTCCGCGGATCCTGGTACGTCCAGTAGGTAAAAACACCTTTCTACAAGAGAAAGGTATGCCCCTGTGTTCCTCCTGTTCACACAATACACGTTATTTGTACAGTGTCTCGAGATTTAAACACCTTGTTTTCAGGTAAATATCAGTATTTAGGAAAATACCATCTTCCCGAGGCGAGGAAAATACCAAAGCAAAATATTCTTATTCAATGTACACATCAATTCAACAGACTTTCTTATTCAAGAATAATAAAATAAATGACTGTATCATTTGTTCCATATGTAACTCACAAAACTTCTAGGGTCTGTGAACATTTCAAGATATTCTTTCAGTCCGTACTTCTTCACGAGTCGATAGACATCCGGGATGAATCCAAGTGAAACTGGATTGCAGCTGTTCTAGCAGAAAAGGCGGGTTATGAAGACTCTCCATGAGAAAAGAACACCATTCATGTCGAAAAGCACGCACCTAAGACTGTATACACAAGTTATCCAAAAACACAAACAGATTTTGCGTTTTCTTTAGCAGACAGGCATACGTTAGGTTCAACCAATAAGGCACACAAGACCTCAGGGAAATAACACAGTTAACAATAACGTGGACATGAAGATACTAATATTGCAACGTTCTATATATACTCACCGACAATTAGAAAACCACCAATGTGTCCTAAAATGTAAAGAACTGCTCACATTTAAGAGATATTAGATTTGTTCGATGCACAAACGAACATACCGGTATGTTGTGAGAACCCACGCTCATGCACGCATCACATGTGACGTCATAAATCTATGACTCGAGATGCACCATTTGTTTCGTGCAGGTTTAGCGTGTACAGTTTGGAAATCACGTGCAGCATGTCTCGATATGAATATAGCCACTCAGTGGTATACCTTGACAAATTATAAGTTTTGCCATTAATTGGTACACATTGGAAACATCTCTTCTTAACGTACATACTTCAATATATGTTTCTGTGGTTCATGTTTCTTTCTGGGTTGATTATATTTACAAGCAAGCAAATGCACCCTTTCTGTGGTGTACAACTCTTTTAAGCTTGATATTTCAGAGTATATAGTAAAACTGTATCTGTCTGACAATCACATAGTTTACATGTATAACGTCAAGTACTTAGTAAACAGTCATGATTATCCAATGAAACAGATTCAATTGGAGGTAACAGGGAGGGTAGCGTTGTCAATGATATGAAGGGATCACTGACCATTACTGATGACATCCGGTGTCGCAATGTGCATCAACAAGCATGTGGTTGTTGCCTGACGCCGACCAGCAATACTCCGGCCATGCGACTGCGACCTGTAAACAAACCAGAAGATGTAATAAGTTGAAGTAACGGTCTCGAAACCAAGTCTCACAATGGCACATTTAATGATTTCGTTGAAACTAAAAACGATGTTAATTTTGAATTAGGTTTGCTGTGTACAGAGCAGAGAGGTGGAAGACTCGAGGCGAGACATTCACAAGATTTACATGCAGAATGACTGACAACATTTGAAGACGAGCTATATTTGTTCTAAAAGGTAACCTTCATTTTATTGATCCAGTGCTTTCATCAATAACCCAAGATATTTATACCCATTAACTATCTTGATACCTTTGTTGTGTCAACATAAAAGCTCTGACTTTACTTTCATAGATTGAATTCAATTTTTATTTTCATGCATAGATCTAAATACGAAACAGATAAGGTGATTTCACAGGTCTAGCTCTATGTGGTATATCAGTGAAGGGGAATTGGCTTTTTGACCTTTATTGAAAGATATTAGGTCATCGATATGCCTGAAGCCTGAGTTTAACTTCTTGGCCGAATTACTTTGTTTTGATGTTGCCAATCCGAGCAGGAATTCAGCCTCGCATGCATAAAGAAATCAGATTTACCAGACTTTCACGAACACTTTCAGGATTCTACGATGCTGAAACGGTCATGTCTCTTTTGAAGATTTAATTTGACTATTGAAAGATTCTTTATTTAGAAAGTCTTGACCCCTGGACAACAATCATACTTTTCAGACGAAGTTTTGTAATTAATCATCAGTTTGTCGGAGTCGTACGACAGTCTGCCGTTTGCAGATATGTCTGATGATTATTGAGATGATTGTGTAGTTTTTGTTTACAGTATTTATCCCTCAGTAAGTTCTGTATCCTCAGCGTATTTCAAGCTGTACATAGTCTTAACCAAAACTACATTCAAAGGATGTTTTATATACACCAGGCGTGGCTTACATTACCTATATACACCAGTCGTGGCTTATACTGTTTATATACACCAGTTGTGGCTTATACTGTCTATATACACCAGTCGTGGCTTATACTGTTTATATACACCAGTTGTGGCTTATACTGTCTATATGCACCAGTCGTGGCTTACACTGTTTATATACACCAGGCGTGGATTACACTGTCTATATACACCAGGCGTGGCTTACAGTGTCTATATACACCAGGCGTGGCTTACATTACCTATATACACAAGGCGTGGCTTACACTGTTTATATACACCAGGCGTGGCTTACAGTGTCTATATACACCAGGCGTGGCTTACACTGTCTATTTACACCAGGCGTGGCTTACACTGTCTACATACACCAGGCGTGGCTTACAGTGCCTACATACACCAGGCGGGCTTACACTGCCTACATACACCAGGCGTTGCTTACGATGTCAATATACACCAGGCGTGGCTTACACTGTCTCTACATACACCAGGCGTGGCTTACACTGCCTACATACACCAGGCGTTGCTTACGATGTCAATATACACCAGGCGTGGCTTACACTGTCTCTACATACACCAGGCGCTGCTTACGATGTCAATATACACCAGGCCTAGCTTACACTGTCTCTACATACTGCTGAATCAAACGACGTACACTACTCGATCACATTTGTGAGTTGAACGTTGTCAGGAACTGATTGATGGGTCTGAACCTGCGTAAAACTGATTAATTGTTGCATCGTTATTTTCTGCTTTTTTATTTAAGTGAGTTCTAAAACCGTCTCTCGGAATGGGTAGGTTCAGTCTGCGATAGAGTTTCCACATGTTTGCCTGCAGTGTTACATGCCAGAGAGCGAGCTGAGAGGACAGTCAGCATTGTTCAGAACTCAGGTAGTAAAACACATTGAACCTAACATGATGTACAGACACAAAACAGACCGGGCCTCCAGATGTTTTATTCGTTCATGCTTTACACAAGTGTGTTGTGTATGTGTGTTGTGCATATCTTGTACAATTGTGGCGTATATGTCTGTCGTGCACGTGTGTTGTATATGTGTGTTGTGCATGGGTGTTGTGTATGTGTTGTGCACGTGTGTTGTAATGTTAGTTGTGTATGTGTTGTACTCCTATGTTGTGCATGTGTGTTGTGCACGTGTGTGTTGTGCACATGTGTAGTGTTTATGGCCGGGGATAGCCACAATGGCACTGGCCGTCAATACAGTGAAGGGTGGCTACTGGAGTGCACACGCACTGCATGAAGTGGTTCTCGTAGCGGTTGAAGCAATCCTCTTGTTTGGAACAGCGCCCTGTCAACACAGAAACACGATAAAGTCCCATGTCACTCCTAGACTCATTGACATGTTCGTGAATGTGAAATAGGAGCTGACGAAACATTGAGGTAGCGGACCTTTCCTTCACGACAATAACGACACTGAAATACCCTTAAGTGTAAACACAGCATAGTAAATACGATAAGGCGCCATTTAGAATCAATAATCAAGAATCAAGAATCAAGAATTATTATTGTACGGAACGCCCTCGTAGGGCAGGGTACAAACTATCTACATATGGGAATAAATATAACTATCAACATGAAACGTAGATATACATAATGTACATTATATATATAAATATTACATATTATTTCATTCATAGTGTATAAACATTTATATATATATATATCATGAGGTGGCTGGCAGCGTGTACTTTAATGATGCGGATACTGTATAGATAGGACATAATAATCATAAGGTCATATCTAGATGTTGTCTATAAGTGAGGTTCTTTTAATAAACATGTCGGAGATAATTTGTGAAACATATTTTGCTCTTTCAGGACAGGGGTTCAGGATATTTGCTAAGATTTTATTATCATTTTGGCAGTTTTGTAAGTCTAGTGTTCGAAGAAGTATCTGCCTTTCATTCTGATAATTTGGACAGTACAAAAGGAAGTGTTTCTAATCATCTATCTTATTTAGGTTACATAATTTACATATTCTCTGGTCGACAGGCGTGTTAGTGTATCGGCCTCTTTCAATCTCCAGATTATGGCAACTGAGTCTTAATTTGGTTGAAGCTGATCTATGATCTTTACATTTTACAGCTGAAACATACTTCTTAAGTTCAAATTTATCTTTAATAAGTCCTAGATGCCCAAGTTTGTGGGGGTTATCAGTGTTTACTTGGTCACTTTCAATGAGAAATATATTTCTAAATTTTGTTTGAAGAGCTTCATAGAATTTTGAGCAAGGGGCATTTTCACTGTTGGATTTGGGAAGTAGGTGTGCCATCATATATTTGATAGAGGATGTCCAGGACATTTTTTGTGAGGCCAAGATAATATCCTCCTGGTACGCATCGAATAAGAGCCTGTCACATTCCAAGCCTCTCAGACGCTGGTAATATCTATACATGGACATATATATTTGTAAAGTAAGAGGGTACATTCCTAATTCACTGATGCATCCAATATTACTCGACTTTTTGGGTACTCCTAGAATCTGCTTTGCTATTTTGATAGTGATCTCATTACATAGTTGTTTAGACCAGTTATGATACATTTCATGCGAGGGTCTTAGAATGGTACTGAAATGTTCTTGTGTGGTTGTCCATGAGAGGTGTGTGTGTGTGTGTGTGTGTGTGTGTGTGTGTGTGTGTGTGTGTGTGTGTGTGTGTGTGTGTGTGTGTGTGTGTAGTGTGTGTGTAGTTAGTGTGTGTGTGTGTGTGTGTGTGTGTGTGTGTGTGTGTGTGAGAGAGAGAGAGAGGGGTGAGGGACGTAGGGCGAGAGGCGAGGGGCGAGGTGTGCGGGGTTTGAGTGGTGAGGGGTGAGGGTTGAGAGATGAGAGGTGAGGGGTGAGGGGTGAGAGGTGAGAGGTGAGGGGTGAGAGGTTAGGGGTAAGATATGAGAGGAGAGGTGAGAGGGGCGAGGGGCGAGTGGAGGAAGGCGAGGGGCGAGGTGTGCGGGGTTTGAGAGGTGAAGGGTGAGGGGTGAGAGGTGATGAGGTGAGAGGTGAGAGGTGAGAGGTGAGAGATGAGAGGTGAGAGGTGAGGAGGTATGGAGCGAGGGGTGAGAAGTAAGAGGTGGGTGCTCACCTAGGTCGGGTTGGGGGTCACACAGCCCGAGGCAGGTACACAGGTTGTCGAGGCAGTGCGGGGAATCTCCCGTCGAACACTGTGTCACGGTGCAGTTGGAGGGCAGCACGCACGTCTCGCCGCTCACCAGCACAACTGAAGCAACAACACTTCAAAGTAGACAATATACAGCCAACAACTTCTTTATAATTCTCCTTTTTATAACAGCAGGCCAACACCTACTTCCCCAGCGTCACCTCCCGATTACCCTACTTAGAGCCAACGGCAGTAGTTGCAACTGTGGACAATACTAAATCTCCATGACTAAAGGCCCCCTTGCAGAGGGCTGCCAGCTGAGGAGGCACTACAGGTAGCTCAAAGGAGGCAGAAAAGAGGCAGAAGCAGAAGCAGAAGCATTGCCATGGTGTCTCAAGGGTTGCCGTGGTCGCCTTATGGAGGCACAGCGGTCGCCACAGTCATCGTTCAATGCACCCTGTTGGTCGCCAAAAGGAGGCACAAGGGAGGCAGAAGCATCATCGCCCAGATTGAGAGGGAAAATTTGCAGCAGAACGCATCTATTACCTTGCGACCATTGGGCGACCACTGTGCCTTCATTCTGCACAACGGCAATGCTTGTGCCTCCCTTCTGCCTCCTTTGAGCCACCTTTGAGCCACCTTTGAGCAACCAACCTCCCCAGCGTCCTTTGTGCGACTGTTTTGAACATGCTCAAAAATTCACGGCACCTCCTGTGTACCACCTTGGAACGACCTAGGCAACCATTCTGCCTTCTTTGAGCCTCCAACGACGACCTGGCTAATGTTATGGTCGAAGACGGGAAGCACAAAGGTCGCCATCCTGTGTAACGGCCCCATAAAAGAAAACTAGTACAGGCACTCCTGATCTACAGGCAGTAACCATCAATCAACAGATATCAAGGCTATTTCATCCCATCCGCCTACCTTAAGCTCATTTAGCAATGTTTTTTGCAATCGTGTTTAATTGGCTTCCTCATCGTGTGCCCTCTGTCCATGATGTTATCCTACAGTGTTATCCTCCTGGCGTTAATAGGTAACCTACCTATGTTAATCACCCCCGTGTGTGCACATTGTTGTCAGCTGTTACAGTATGACACAGAAGGTGTTGCACATACATTGCATCTACTTTGTCATTCGTCGTCCTCTAAGAAATACCCATCAAACAATTCACCAAAACTAACTGTTGATGATAACAAGCATGACACATACTAACACGAACATGCGACCTCAGATTGACTGAAACACGACAATCAGACATCAGACATTATCCACATACATTTAATGATCCCAGATAAAGATGCATCAATGTTGATCACTTGGCTTACATTTCTACCGAAATTAGTTGAGTATTTCAACTTCAAAATGTTTTTCAAATACAAACCGTAGGCGGCGAGAGAAAGAAGGATCGGCGCATATGGCAACATTCCGGCGGCCTGCTGCGTGGACGGTTGCCGTGTGAACTAAACAGATAGATACTATATAAAGGACACATCGTGACAGCCTGTGGAAGTCGTTTACCAGAGCTGCTTGATTGTTTGTTTGTCTGTTTAACGCCGCACTCAGCAATATTCCAGCTATATGACGGTTGACTCTAAACAATCGAGTCTTGACCAGACAATCCAGTGATTAACATCATGAGCATCGATCCACGCACATGGGATTCAAAGACATGCATCAACCAAGTCAGCGAGCCTGACCACCCGCTCTCGTTAGTCGCCTGTTACGACAAGCATAGTCGCCTGTTACGACAAGCATAGTCGCCTGTTACGACAAGCATAGTCGCCTCTTACGACAAGCATAGTCGCCTGTTACGGCAAGCATAGTGGCCTGTTACGACAAGCATAGTCGCCTCTTACGACAAGCATAGTCGCCTCTTACGACAAGCATAGTCGCCTGTTACGGCAAGCATAGTCGCCTGTTACGGCAAGCATAGTCGCCTCTTACGACAAGCATAGTCGCCTGTTACGGCAAGCATAGTCGCCTGTTACGGCAAGCATAGTGGCCTGTTACGACAAGCATAGTCGCCTGTTACGGCAAGCATAGTCGCCTGTTACGGCAAGCATAGTCGCCTGTTACGGCAAGCATAGGTTGCTGAAGACCTGTTCTAACCCTGATCTTCACGGGTCAGCTACTTGATTGAGATATTGCCGGAACTGTCGGTGTCCAGATGCTTTACGTTTGTATTAGTTTTACATGGCTGTCTACTCTAGGGTGGACTTGGGTGAGGTAATGGGGGATGGTGAATGTCTACAATGTCAAAATATACAGTTCGTCTTAGCTGATAAAGTGTCATATACCTTAAATCTAAATAGTTTGATAGGCATTACTTAGAAGTTGACGGATGACAAATTGTGTCTACCTTGTCACCTTAAATCTATATATCTTTTGTCCAGAAACCAAATTAAACCAATAGTCGTATTTCTATCAACATGTAAATCCTAAATCTATTATTTAACATGCAAGATAACATATTGGGCTTAAACACTATCATGATCGAGTCAGTTGCACTTATTCTAGTCTATAGCCATGTACACGTCAATGGTACACGGGTTTCCCACAATCTGCACTCATCACTTAAAACCAACTTATTCAACAGTATTGAAATGCCTGATCCCTAAAAATGAAAACATTCTTCATAATCAAAATAAAGGAACATTAGTTATACTGTACTGTGTAATCAATATATACCACTCAATAAAAGAAACGAATAGAAAGTTCCATTAAGTATTTATGAATGCAGATATGAGCATACACGTAGACTGTCGAAAGCACTTACTGTAAAGGGGAGACAACAGCTTAAACTTGAAGAACAATGTCAAGGTCACACGATGTCAGTAACGATTTACCCGAGACTGAATCATATTCCAGATGACAGGTCTTGGAATGTTCTGATACTCCTCATACAGGGTCGACAACACCGCTGGGAGGGTCTGAGGTTCGGGATGACGTTCAAAAGTGTTCAATAAGTTTGAGATCTGGTAACCGGGATGGTCAGGGAGCATCCGGACTTGTTGTGGGCGAGGAAAGCCGTGGTCAGTATAGCTGTGTGGTCAGGTTGACTTGTTGTGGGCGAGGATAGCTGTGGACAGTATAGCTGTATGGTCAGGCTGTCTTGTTGTGGGCGAGGATAGCTGTGGTCAGTATAGCTGTGTGTGGTCAGTATAGCTTTGTGGTCAGGTTGTCTTGTTGTGGGCGAGGATCGCTGTGGTCAGTATAGCTGTGTGGTCAGGTTGACTTGTTGTGGGCGAGGATAGCTGTGGTCAGTATAGCTGTGTGTGGTCAGTATAGCTGTGTGGTCAGGTTGACTTGTTGTGGGCGAGGATAGCTGTGGTCAGTATAGCTGTGTGTGGTCAGTATAGCTGTGTGGTCAGGTTGTCTTGTTGTGGGCGGGGATAGCTGTGGTCAGTATAGCTGTGTGGTCAGGTTGTCTTGTTGTGGGCGAGGATAGCTGTGGACAGTATAGCTGTATGGTCAGGCTGTCTTGTTGTGGGCGAGGATAGCTGTGGTCAGTATAGCTGTGTGTGGTCAGTATAGCTGTATGGTCAGGTTGTCTTGTTGTGGGCGAGGATCGCTGTGGTCAGTATAGCTGTGTGGTCAGGTTGACTTGTTGTGGGCGAGGATAGCTGTGGTCAGTATAGCTGTGTGTGGTCAGTATAGCTGTGTGGTCAGGTTGACTTGTTGTGGGCGAGGATAGCTGTGGTCAGTATAGCTGTGTGTGGTCAGTATAGCTGTGTGGTCAGGTTGTCTTGTTGTGGGCGAGGATAGCTGTGGTCAGTATAGCTGTGTGGTCAGGTTGTCTTGTTGTGGGCGAGGATAGCTGTGGTCAGTATAGCTGTGTGGTCAGGTTGTCTTGTTGTGGGCGAGGATAGCTGTGGTCAGTATAGCTGTGTGTGGACAGTATAGCTGTGTGGTCAGGTTGTCTTGTTGTGGGCGAGGATAGCTGTGGTCAGTATAGCTGTGTGGTCAGGTTGTCTTGTTGTGGGCGAGGATAGCTGTGGTCAGTATAGCTGTGTGGTCAGGTTGTCTTGTTGTGGGCGAGGATAGCTGTGGTCAGTATAGCTGTGTGTGGACAGTATAGCTGTGTGGTCAGGTTGTCTTGTTGTGGGCGAGGATAGCTGTGGTCAGTATAGCTGTGTGGTCAGTATAGCTGTGTGGTCAGGTTGTCTTGTTGTGGGCGAGGATAGCCGTGGTCAGTATAGCTGTGTGGTCAGTATAGCTGTGTGGTCAGGTTGTCTTGTTGTGGGCGAGGATAGCTGTGGTCAGTATAGCTGTGTGTGGTCAGTATAGCTGTGTGGTCAGGTTGTCTTGTTGTGGGCGAGGATAGCCGTGGTCAGTATAGCTGTGTGTGGTCAGTATAGCTGTGTGGGCAGGTTGTCTTGTTGTGGGCGAGGATAGCCGTGGTCAGTATAGCTGTGTGTGGTCAGTATAGCTGTATGGTCAGGTTGTCTTGTTGTGGGCGAGGATAGCCGTGGTCAGTATAGCTGTGTGGTCAGGTTGTCTTGTTGTGGGCGAGGATAGCTGTGGTCAGTATAGCTGTGTGTGGTCAGTATAGCTGTGTGGTTAGGTTGTCTTGTTGTGGGCGAGGATAGCTGTGGTCAGTATAGCTGTATGGTCAGGTTGTCTTGTTGTGGGCGAGGATAGCTGTGGTCAGTATAGCTGTGTGTGGTCAGTATAGCTGTGTGGTCAGGTTGTCTTGTTGTGGGCGAGGATAGCTGTGGTCAGTATAGCTGTGTGGTCAGGTTGTCTTGTTGTGGGCGAGGATAGCTGTGGTCAGTATAGCTGTGTGTGGACAGTATAGCTGTGTGGTCAGGCTGTCTTGTTGATGGCGAGGATAGCTGTGGTCAGTATAGCTGTGTGGTCAGTATAGCTGTGTGGTCAGGTTGTCTTGTTGTGGGCGAGGATAGCTGTGGTCAGTATAGCTGTGTGGTCAGTATAGCTGTGTGGTCAGGTTGTCTTGTTGTGGGCGAGGATAGCCGTGGTCAGTATAGCTGTGTGGTCAGTATAGCTGTGTGGTCAGGTTGTCTTGTTGTGGGCGAGGATAGCTGTGGTCAGTATAGCTGTGTGGTCAGGTTGTCTTGTTGTGGTCGAGGATAGCTGTGGTCAGTATAGCTGTGTGTGGTCAGTATAGCTGTATGGTCAGGCTGTCTTGTTGTGGGCGAGGATAGCTGTGGTCAGTATAGCTGTATGGTCAGGTTGTCTTGTTGTGGGCGAGGATAGCTGTGGTCAGTATAGCTGTGTGGTCAGGTTGTCTTGTTGTGGGCGAGGATAGCTGTGGTCAGTATAGCTGTGTGTGGACAGTGTAGCTGTGTGGTCAGGCTGTCTTGTTGTGGGCGAGGATAGCTGTGGTCAGTATAGCTGTGTGGTCAGTATAGCTGTGTGGTCAGGTTGTCTTGTTGTGGGCGAGGATAGCTGTGGTCAGTATAGCTGTGTGTGGACAGTATAGCTGTGTGGTTAGGTTGTCTTGTTGTGGGCGAGGATAGCTGTGGTCAGTATAGCTGTGTGGTCAGTATAGCTGTGTGGTCAGGTTGTCTTGTTGATGGCGAGGATAGCCGTGGTCAGTATAGCTGTGTGGTCAGGTTGTCTTGTTGTGGGCGAGGATAGCCGTGTTCAGTATAGCTGTGTGGTCAGGTTGTCTTGTTGTGGGCGAGGATAGCTGTGGTCAGTATAGCTGTGTGTGGCCAGTATAGCTGTGTGGTTAGGTTGTCTTGTTGTGGGCGAGGATAGCTGTGGTCAGTATAGCTGTATGGTCAGGTTGTCTTGTTGTGGGCGAGGATAGCTGTGGTCAGTATAGCTGTGTGTGGACAGTATAGCTGTGTGGTTAGGTTGTCTTGTTGTGGGCGAGGATAGCTGTGGTCAGTATAGCTGTGTGGTCAGTATAGCTGTGTGGTCAGGTTGTCTTGTTGATGGCGAGGATAGCCGTGGTCAGTATAGCTGTGTGGTCAGGTTGTCTTGTTGTGGGCGAGGATAGCCGTGTTCAGTATAGCTGTGTGTGGTCAGTATAGCTGTGTGGTCAGGTTGTCTTGTTGTGGGCGAGGATAGCTGTGGTCAGTATAGCTGTGTGTGGTCAGTATAGCTGTGTGGTCAGGTTGTCTTGTTGGTGGATGACGTCTTGGTTGTTCATGAATGGAGGTCTGGTGATTTCTTCGCAGTAAATTTGAGATCATCTTCCCGAGGCAAGGGAGTTAACTGAAAAGTCATTTTTTCCCCCCTTGCCGAACTAGGCTGGAATTATGAAGTTATTTTTTGGCTGCACTAACGGGTCTATGCATAGTCCAATCACAATTGCGAAACGAAATCGACATTTCGGTCGATTGAAGGATTTGTAAAACACCAACTCGCCGTTATCAGATATTTTCCAAATCCTTTCATGTTTCTTATTAAGGTGCTCAAGTGATTTGATGCACTTCGCGAAGTAAGACCTGTTTTATTACAATATAGATCTTGCTTACCGATCTGATCGTCTTAACTGGCCGCC